GAGCCGGGTGATTTCGAGGGACGCCGCAGGCGTGATTTGGGAAATTCATACCCGATGAAGCCGGGAGTTTCGGGGAAGGGTTCGGTAGAAAACCATATCTTTTAAAAATAATGCCGAAATGCAGTGAAAAAGCTCAAAAATTGCTTGCAAAAGAGCCCAGAAAAGCCATGGTCATAGTGAAGCAGATATAAAAAGCAAGGAGTACAAGCCTAAAAGCTGGAATCAAAATTCCCGCTTTGATTCAGGAGAACTGGAGCCGCTCTGAGTAACAGTGCTTGCTGCTCGTTTTTTGGACATTTTCAGCCTTTCCAACATCATATTCCACCATCGTATGAATTTTGTTGATGAATATGAAAAAACTGAATAAGTTTCAAAAGTGGTAAGAAACAAGAAACTATAGCGGCACCCAACTTGGTTGCCATTGTCCCATGCGCCAGTCCACTCAGGTGCCATTGTCGTCAAAGGGTCAAGACAGAACTGGAGAAAAACTCGAAAACTGATATATAAAGGTGAAAGCTTGCAAAAAAGCCTAAAAAGTCTTGGTCATAGTGAAGCAGATAGAATAGGCGAAGAGTTCAAGCAAAAAACAATGCGTTTCAGTGGAAGGTTTTATAAATAGTGCTCGGGTTTGATCAATAGTTTCGGTGAAGGCAGAACAAAGAACGTCACCTATCGATCGGTTCGCTGTGGGAAGATGGTGGAATATGATCATGGAAAAATGAGCAGTAAGCACCGTCTCCCAGGATGGCTCCACTTCTCCTGATTCAAAGCGAGAACTTCGAGATCCTAGTTTTTAGGCTTAAACTCTACCTTTATATCTGCTTCACTGTGACCACGGCTTTTTTTGGCTTTCCGCAAGCAATTTTTGAGCTTTTTCACTGCATTTCGACTTTTTTTTCCGAAAAGAATGTGGTTCTCTACCTAACCCTTTCCCCGAACCTCCCGGCCCCACTCGAGCGGACCTGTGATAACGGTGTACACCCCTCCCACCCACCGAAGATGCTCTCAGGCTCCATCAACACGGCTATCGTATTTGGTGCTGTTTTCTCAGAGCAAATTTTTCTTCTGGAGGGCACAGAGAAAATGCACTGTGACGAGGGTGGTAAACTTGATCCTCGCAATCTTGTACATATTAATCACCGGACAAGAAAAGACGGCCAGCAGGAAGAAGCGAGTATACGTTCAATCCCTGTCTTCCACTTCAACTTCCACCACTGGCTTAGGGAATTACACCCCTAGGCCAGTGGTGGAAGTTGAAAATCACTCAAACAGGACAAAAACAGTAGTTTTATTCTCTTCCTGCATTCTTCAATGTCTAGCATTTCCATATGTGAGGAGATCACTTGCTTAGTATAAACGCGCTTTCGCCTAGTATAAACGCATTTCCGCTTAGTATAAACGCACTTTCACCTATTGACGCAGTGGTTTTGACGCGCGGTGAAGCGTCTCAATAGTCTTAGGTTACCTACTTATCTTCATAGACTTTACTACTTTACTGCATTTGAATCTCTTTATACAAAGCAATACTCACAAGCCTAGACATGCCTAACTCATTCTGTACAAAGCTGGAAAAAAGTTTCTGATGAAATAAAGGCAAATGATTGACAATTAGTGAAAGGCGTGGGGGAAACATCACATGTTACACAGGCAGCAAGTGTAGGTACAATCAATTACCAGTAAGATCAAGGGAAAGTTAATGAGTTGACCGGTACTAAGAACAATTATTAAAACTATAATTAAAAGCATGTTCACTCAGCAGAAACAAAACGAGAAGAATCACCTTTGCCGACAAGAAATATTTGATTAGAATCTGCCGTTTTTGATAATAGACTGCGGCAGTACCCAACAATATCAGTTATTTCTTCAGGTTCATCCAGTTTAGAATCAAGGTTGAAATACCTGAAAATCTATAATAATTTATTGTAAGCATACACGATATGAACACCAAATGCACCTGTTTCTATAGAAAGCCTTTTCATTCTGACTATGGGATGCCTGCTTTCTGATTTTTAATTGTTCCAAAAAAGCGAATGATGCCGCTTCGCATCCGCACGCAGTATAACATTCAGTTCTTACAGCCGATAATTTTCAACCAAAAAATCTTGTCATATTTGTGCTACGAAAGCAAAAATTGGAAACGACGAAGACCAAGATTTTAAGCGCAGCACACGAAGAAAGTCTGTCACTGGTTGGTTGTACGCCATAACTAATCACAGGCATAAATAAATCTATTATTAGGTTGGTGACTTCGACGTCCGTCCGTCCGTCCGTCACGTGCGTGCTGCCGTGCGCCGGCGGCGCTGGAAGGTGTTGACAGCGCTGGCACGTGGTCTACTATTGTCAATGTCAGTCTAGCGCCGCCGTCGCAGCACGCACGCGACGGACGGACGTCGAGGTCTGAAAACAGCCTTTAAAACTGCTTCTCAACAAGATAGCAGTAAAGCTATAAATGACAGGATAAGTTCGCTAATATAGTGCTTTTGTAAGTTTGGCTCGTATAAAACAACGAAAATTGCTGGAATCCCGTAAGCTACTCACCTGTTATTGTCCTGACGGAGTACTGTATACCAATGGCGTCCTTTCCAAAAAGGAATGTAATTTTTTGACGGGATATTGACAATTAGTGCATCAATGTTTTCAAAACAAATTCGTTCCACTGGCAGTCGGCTGTCGAACCAGATCACCGAAAATACCAAGAATAAGGATCAATCAATAAGCATCAAATGTTACTGAGTCGAACTAAGTTCTGCTTGCTTACTTGATAGTCATACATAGCAAGCGCTGACATCAACACATTTGCATCATAGTTGCCAAGGCCAAGCATTGACCTGGGCGGTGGTATTTGGACTAACATTGTAAATTTATGAAAAAAGAAAATGTTCAAAAAAAAAGTTACCTGTGAGGGTTAAACCACCGACTTTCATTTAGTGAGTAACAAATCTCATCCAATGATTCTGAAGTAAAATGAGGTTTTTGAAAAAGTGCATTCAGTGCGTGGACCAGGCACATCTGCCGGGACTGCCGTTCATGATACATCTGAAATCGATCCTGAACTTAATGAATTTAACGAGATCACGAAGATACACAAGAAACTTTTCGACTAGGAACGTAAATTAACTTACTGCTCGGTTGCAACTACACAACTGCGTATTTTGCTAAGTGTTTCAAATGTTTGTCTAAAAGGGTACTACCAATTTGTCAAAGGAATTCATATTAATCGACCAGGCATCTGGGTATCTTGTAGCCAGTTTATAAATGAATAACATTTTTTTAGCAAAAAAGTTGGTTATTTTTTTGTAAAGTTAGTTACCAACCTAGCAGTATGGCTACTTCCAGACTTCGACGTCTATCCGTCCGACCGTCCGTTCAATGCGTGCGCGCGGCGGTCGCTTGCGTGCTGCGACGGCGGCGCTAGAGTAGTGTTGACAGCGCGCGCTGGCACATGATCTAGTGTTGTCCACAACGGTCAGGCGCCGCCGTCACAGTACGCACGCGACCGCAGTCGCGCACGCGTTGAACGGATGGTCGGAGGGACGGATGAATCGTTGAGGTCTGAAAGCAGCCTATGGCGGGTGCATAGACGGGACGTGTTATTACCAATCTTAAGCACTAGTCATAGAATTTCACTCTTAGAGAACAACCTGGTTAACTTTTTCCATCGATACCTACGCTTTGGCTTAGAAATCTGCACAATATTAGTAGCTACGTTGAAGTCAAGCATGAAATGATCGTGTAGATATCATGTAACAAAAGGTAATCTGAGCAAAAGAAAGAAATGGTTTCTACTAGGCAGTAAACAAATTTCTGAAAGCTAAAAATGAAAGGAAATTGACTGAATTAGAGGTGTTAAACAGAGCTGATGATGAATGCTCGAATGGTCTATTAGTCCATCGCTATCCTTTTAATATGGGATTACACTTAGCACACCGTTATCCCGATAGATCACGTAAAACCTCGACGAGGAACCACGACGCCCGATGATGACATAAGAAAAGAGCAATCGTTGCAAAATCAATACTTATAGGGACACTAACAAAACTTTGAAGTTAAGGAATCCTACTGCGTATCAGTCTCAAGCGTAGAGCACGTTATGTTTTCCCAAGAATGACAGAAACGCTTTCTCGTGATGAATCATCGTCGCGCTAGTTTACTGAGATGGTATTCCAGATTACAAAAGCACGTTTTTGCGCTCGCTCGGGTGCTACTTTACAATACCGACCGGCTCCCGAACAAGAAGAATGAAAGGACCGGAAATCACTACAAAATAGTTCTTTACTATCGCTTACTTTCGAATGTTTCAGCTCATTCGACCGTTCCCGCTTCAATCCCTTCAAGCAATTTAATTCGAATCGATGATTTTTCATTCAAAACCCTGAATTGTAATGGACCTTTTTAGAAAGCCATCATAAAATCTTCATTAATGGTGAAGCGGAATAAGAAAAAAATTCCAAAAATAAGTCTCGACAGCTTAAATTCGCAGGTGGATTACCGTAACGAGGACTTTCGCTTAGATTATCGCTCCAGTTACTCTTTGCGTAATCATCGACATTGCTTCTACTGGATTACTAAACGACCCTGAACTAATTCGAACTTAAGAAATGTTAATAAAACATTTAAAAAATAAAAAATGAAACTACACTGGTGTGCAAAACTTAGGGACGAGATGGATAATGTAAATTAAAACATTGAGGACTGGGTGGAAATAAATGAAAGTGTGGGATTATATTGCTAGACCTATGACGGTTATGCACAGGAAGTTGGACATCCCTTGGTGGAGGAATAGTTCAAATAAAGCGAAAAATATGGCTACCCGCACAAATCGAGGCAGCTGAT